GATGATATATATCTGAATATCTACACTAACACTAACTTTAATAATTTTAATGTAATATTTATGTGTGTGCGTTCGTGTGCGTGTGTATATATGTGTGTGTGAATGTGTGCGGTTCATAGAAAACAAACACTCGGTAAGTTAGGATGAAAACGTTCGATTATAAATACAAGATAGAAAGTTATTTTATTTTATTACTACATACCCCACACAATCAAGTCAAATTAAATTGTCCATTTAAAATAAATGTGATTAAAAAAATTTAAATACCAAAAAACAATGCGTCAATTCATTTGCATGTTTATATAGGCTGTGTGTTGTGTGTGTGTTGTGTGTGTGTTGTGTGTGTTGTGTGCGTGTGTGATAAAAGTTAATAGAGACTTGTGAAAGAGAAATGGTGAAATGGATAAAAAATTGAATAAAAGTTTCACTTACGTGACTGAATTATAAGTCTGATAGCGAGATAGCCTGCAATATTTTAAGTAATTTATCAAGATTTGAAGATGTGTGTGCAAATGTATGTGCATGTAAGTGCACGTGTGTTGTACATGTGTGTGTGTGTTTTGTGTGTGTGAGTGTGGTCTCTCTGTGTGTGAGTGTGTGTTATAGGTAAAATTCTAATTTTCACGTTCGTACATAATAATTTACATATATTCATACATTCATACTTACGTACATACATCCATACACACTCATAAACACATACACACACAAACATACACACATATACATTTACACATACAAACAACATGCATCCATACAGACACAAATATTCTTTCTCTGCCCATTTCCTAAGCTCCCACAAAGCAATTAATTTATATATATATTTTTATTTTTCTTTATTTGCTTTCAGAATTTTTGTTTATTCTAATTTGAAACTGGTCTAAAAGTCATTAAAATGACAAATTATATGATAAAAATAATTGAATTTATTATTCTAACGTGTACAACAATATTCAATTGTGTACTGCATTCGATTGTGTACTACACACAAACGTGCACTAACACTAGACACATACGAGCTGAATACAATTGTAACAGTCATAACCAAATATAAATATTAAAAATATGAAAAGTGATAATGATAAATACGATGCTAGGCGATAGAATACATAATATATCGCAATATCACAATTTAAAAACTAGAAAACCATGACAATATAAAAGTAAAATTTAAAATTTTTAAAATTTCTTAGTTTCTCTCCTTTTCAATCCGCTTTCTGTTAATCTACAGAAACAGCACTTCTTCACGGCCAACTTGCTAAAGTATGTGGAAACCAAAATTGTGCTGTCATGGTCAGCCTGAACTTTCCAGCAACTTTTGATACCATTAATCATCAGATGCTTATTGACAATCATACGTGCCTCTAATCATATATCTCAGCTTGACAACTTAAATGCATGTACTACAAAACGGTTTTTCATCCTACCTTTCAACTTTACTTCAAAAAGAGTTGCAAAAGTTGTTCTAAATATCAGTAATTTATCTTCTACCACAGATTCACTCACTCAACTACATTGGTTATCATTACGTCACGTACAAGTTACTTAACACATATTAACCATCATATCTTCATCAACTTATATCGCGTCGCTCATTAACTTGTCAACATTATTCGTCTCCATATACTCAGTTGTATCAACCTGTTGGCAATTCATCAGTTGTCAACAAATATTTTACATACGTTCTCCTTCCATATGGAATGTTTTGCCTGCCATCATTCGTCAACAACCAGCCATCAAACTTTTAAGAAACGATTAAAGAATTAATTTCAAAACGAAAATAATCCATGCCAAAACCACAAAGAAAGTATCATAAGGCTTCAGGCCAGCTGTATATAACAATACATACCCACAAACTTCTACATAAAACTTCTATCAACTTCCACAAAAAAAATAATTTTCACATAAAAATACGTAATCGTTATCATACAAACGCGTTCTACATACAAAAGTGTGCAACATGTTATAAATACTGCATACAAAGTGTACTACATACAAAAGTGTGCAACATGTTATAAATACTGCATACAAAGTGTACTACATACAAAAGTGTACAACATGTTATAAATACTGCATACAAAGTGTATTACATACAAAAGTGTGCAACATGTTATAAATACTGCATACAAAGTGTACTACATACAAAAGTGTACAACATGTTATAAATACTGCATACAAAAGTGTGCTACATAGAAACTCTTAACAACATTACATACAGGACCTTTCGCTACAACCAAATAAAAAAGCAAAATTAGCGCTGACCTTGACATTGCAATATCGCTGAAACAAGCCAGCCAATCATTCATCGGCATGTTTAATCAACCAACCAATGGCGTTAGGAGCTTTGAGAGATCACATGACGACCCTTACTACACAAATTGACCAGGTTCATGTATGTGATGTAATGTGTGTGTGTGTGTGTGTGTATGTGTGTGTGTGTGTGTGTGTGTGTGTCATATCAAACATATACAAACACACCAGTGTGAGTGTCATATCAAACATACACACAAACACACCACACACACACACAAACATACACACAAACACACAATATACTAAGCAATATATACATTCTATTACATTTCGAGTTAAAATAATCAGTTGGGCGTTACGAACCTTACCGACAGACCGACCGAAGATTTCGGTGATGTACCGAATATGATAAAATGGTAAGAGTCTGGCAGATAAAGACAATGCAGTCATGATGATGATGACGAGGATGGTAGAGGTGATGATGATGATGATGATAATGATGATGATGATGATGATTATTATTATTATTAAGATAAGGATGTTATTGATTGCGATATTGACAATAAATGATGATCACGAAGGTGTCGATAATGATGACGATGATGGTAAAGATGTTGATAACAAAAAAAAACAAAAAAAAACAAAAAAAAACAAATGAAAGTGATGATAACAAAGTTTTTTTAACTGGCTGGCAGAAGTGAAAATAGTTTTATGTCATATCTTCAATAAAAGGGGTTTCAATTGGTCCTTGATTTTTTAGAACCTTTTGTGAAAAAATATAGGAAAAAATTTAATATTTGAGATTCCAATCAAATATACCATACATTTATAATATTCTTGTAGAACTTTTTTTAACCCAACATTTCATTTTTTCTTTCATTTTCTCTTTCTCTCTATCTCTATTTCTATTTCTCTTTCTCTCTCTCTCACTCTCCCTCCCTCTCTCTCTCTCTCTGTCGTTCATTTTTATTTACAAACAGTTTACTCTTATGAAGCCTACCACAACGCCAAATAAAACACAGTAAAAACGGAATATTGTAATAAAAAATATATAGATAATAATGTCATTTTTGTTGTTGCTATTATTATTATTGTTGTTGTTGTTGTTGTTATTAACGAAAACACCGCGAAAGACATGGCGAGCAATATATTATGCGGACAAAATATCTCTTTAACGAAATGGCACGGTGGAAAATTGATCGAGACTCAACCGTAAACCGAACAACAACAACAACAACAACAATAATAATAATAACAATAACAAAAACAATAATAATAATAGTGGGATATATGTATATCTATTTCATCTGTTTTGTTCGTCCTATTGGTAGTTTCTCTACTTATAACTTGCATTGATGTGTGTATGTGCGTATATATGTTTTGTATATACGGGAGTACTAAGTATGTACACTTTGTATGCAAGTTTGTATATACAACAAAGTTTGTAGACAGCAAAAAGTTTGTATTTAGATTTATAAACTAAACAATTAAACTTTGTATAGTATGATGCAAAACAAAAAACAAAAAAAACATACACATACAAAACATAAAATTGCATGTACAAAACATTCAACAAACATACAAACATAAAATACACGTACATCAAAATGTATATAGATCCTTTATGCAAAAAACGAAATTGTTCATACAAATTTGAATATGTTCATCTAGAATATTTATACATACATATGTAGGTAGACGTGAATAAACAAAATTAAGTATACACAAACGTACATATACAAACATACATATACAAACATGTTCATACAAGCTCGCATATACAAACCTGTTTATACAAACATGCATATACAAAGCATTGATCTTTGCACGTCAGCCGGCACATAAATAGCCGGGAGTAACTTATACATATACATGTATACATATACACATACATTTATACATTCATACATACATGCATGCATGCATGCATGCGTACTTACATACATATATACATAGAAATATATACAGATACATACAAACAAGCACATGTGTATTTATTCATTCATTATTTATACATGTATGTCATTGGATGAGTGTTTATATGTTTGTTTTTAATATTTGTATGTTTGTTTTTAATGTTTATAAACGCTTGCTTGTTTGTTTGCACAGTGTATGGACGGTAACATTATGTTAAGATGGATTGATTGTGTTAATTATATTGTATTATATATATATATATATATATATATATATATATATATATATATATATATATTTATCTGCAAAAGGTGATGCAATATAATCAGTTATATATTTACATTAGTGATTAAGATATAACGCTTGAAATATGCCAGTAGACAGTACGCACACGTGAAACAACCAATCATTTTATCAACAAATCAATCAATTGACTGACATATAAATCAATCATTTCACAAATAATCAACCATCTCATCAATCAATCAATCAACTAATCGTTCACTCATTTAATCAAGTAATCAAGCTGCAAACTAATCAATCAGTCAATTGGTAGATTAATCAATCAATCAACCAATCAATTAACAAATCAATTAGCCAGTCAATTAATTAACAAAGTAACCAGCCAATTAACCGATCATTAGATTTTCCAACCAATCAATCAATCAATCGATCAGTCAATCAATCCCATAGAAAGTCACACGCGCGGGATATATCGCGAGATTCAGGCCTTCCTCGTTAATACGAATGCATGTTTTAATTGTAAAATATCGTGATCACATCTCTTACCTGTACTGCCGAAGTTTTGTGCCTGTGTATTCATGTGTTTGTGTGTGTGTGTGTGTGTGTGTATGTGTGTATACGTATGTGTATACGTACGTGCGTGTGTATGTGTTTATGTGTTTTGTCTGATAATGTATTAGTTCTGTTTAGTACGTTTGTATGTGAGAGTATGTGTGGAAATGTTACTATCTGAGTGTGTGTGTGTTGATGTGTGTGTGTATTTGTGTGTGTGTATAAATGTGCGTCTGTATGTGTGTTTGCGCGTAAATTGCACCCGTTTCCTAGAATGCATGTTTATTTTCTTATGTCTTATGTGAGCGTGATGGATGGCATTGAAGAGTGAGAAAAAGAACGAATGAGTGAAAGATTGATTGAATCAATGGATGGATATATGGATGAATGAATGCGTGAATTACTGAATGACTGACTGACTGAATGAATGAATGGGCAAACGATTAAATGAATGAATGACGACAACAAAGAAAAAATTGTATTAATAATTGATAAAATGATTTGCTGGAACTAGACCCTCGATAGTACGTACAACCAGATCAGGAAATCTAACTGATGATGACGATCATGATGAGTGCGCTGATAGTGATGATGATGAGTACGATGGTAATGATGATGATGAAGATGATTATGATGATGACGAAGATGACAATGATGAATATAATATAATGATGATGATGATGGCGTCATTATTAACTTTAAGAATTGCACATTTCGAAAAAAAAAACAAAACAAAAAAAAAACAAAAAAATACAGAAGTGCAAACTGCACCTAACCGCCAACTTGACATTCGATAACCGACATACCGATAGACCGAAATACCGACGTATCGATATGCCGAAATACCGAAAAAATCTCAGCCATCTTGGCACATTCAAGTTTAATTGAATTCGGGAGAAGATAACGGTTCTTTATGGCACTTAAAATAATTAAATTGTTATTGCGACCGAGCAAAATAGGCGAGGCATTGTATGTCAAAAGTGTTTTGTAGGTTTGCTTATGCATACACACACACACACACACACACACACACTCACACAGACACACACACACACACATATAATTATATTTGACATTTGACATTTTTTATTTCATCAAATCAAAACAAAGAAATCAAAGAAATAATATCAATGAAAAGAAATGATCTGGAAATCGAAAAGAAAATATGGTTTTCTTGTAATGATCACCAGTGACAATTGTAAAAATAAGAGCATATTTTAAACATTTTAGTGCATGTAAACTCACATTCATATTACAAATCCTAAAAAACCAAAAATGGAATCATAATTATTAAGTAATCAACTCTTTTAAATTTTTATCAGAAATATATATATAGACCCACGTAAAACATACTAATTCACACACACACACACACACACACACACACACACACACACACACACACACACACACACACACACACACACACACACACACACACATACGCACACACATATACACACACGTACACACACACACGTACTTGACACACACACACACACACACACACATATATATATATATATATATATATATATATATATATATATATATATATATATATATATATAGAGGCCTTTTAATAACAAAATACATATATGACACTGATACATGCATACGTACATTACATACCTATACATTTGTTACATTATTTAAGATGATGAT